CAAGTAGTAAGTACTAGTGTAACTAATATGATGCACACCCATATTGCTGACCTGACGCATCCAACACCACAGGAGTCCAGCAACCTACTCGGAAACAAGAAATTGGATTCAACTCAAAAGCTTCCCAGTCACAGCAGCAGTTGAGGTCCCCTCCTATATTCGGACTCTGATTGAGAAAGGAAAAGGCACCTGTGATCTGTCTCTCTCCCTCCCTAGACACACACATACTATCTCTCTCTCTCATTCTCTCTCGCTTCTACTCATCATCTGATAGTGTAGAAGCTCAAAAAATATTCAGTGACTGATGACTTTAAGCATTCTCATTCACTGAAGGCTTAACAAAACTTTACCCAAGAACTTGCCATAGCTCCCTACTACCTCTGGTATAAACCTTGGCCTCTCGTCCCTCTGTGACCTAGCCCTAACTCTCTTTGCCAGTATGCCCCTTTGCTCACCCATACCCTAGTTCCCAGTAACACTGAACTAATCTGTCTCTTATAGACAATCCCCAAAATTTTACCCACCAACCTCAACAAAAATCACCTGTCCCCAGTGTTACATGTTTCAATCCTACCCACCTTTCCAAACCCAGCTCAAATACTTCCTTAACTCATTCAATCTCACCCAGATTGGGCCTCTTTCTCTGCTCCTGTATGCCTCAAGAGTCTTGACTATTTTAGGGTATACTAGTTGAACAAGTAAGTAAATATGTTGTAGATAATGAGAGGCAGGTCTCTCACTGTCAGAGAAATAAGTTATGCATAAGGAATTGGAGAGAGCTAAATTTCTGTGACGTTAGACTGGAATTGGATATATCAGTATGAACTCACGGTTTTTTAATAGATAGGTGTGTGTATGCATGAGTATACACACATATATTTCCTAGCTCTGTCTTCTGGGAAGACAGAAACAACGGCACTCCAGTAGCAATATGTACATCTAGCACCAACATCTTGGTTTCTATATACCATCCTCCAATAAAAGAAAAGGCTTCTTGGAGAAGTGATTGATTCCAGGGGTAGCGCAAGGAAAATACAAGATGAGCCTGGGGATTAGAAAGTTAAGACAGTGGGGGTGCCTGGGTGGTGCAGTTGGTTGAGTGTCCGACTCTTAGTTTCAGTTCAGGCTGTGATCTCAAGGTTGTGAGATCCAGCCCCACATTGGGCTCCACACTCAGCATGGAGTCTGCTTAGGATTCTCTCTCCCTCTCTCTCTGCCCCTCCTCCCATGTGTGCACTCACTCACTCACTCGCACACGCTCTCTCTCTCTCTCCCCCTCTAAAGTGAATAAATAAATCTTTTTTAAAAAAAGTTAAGATAGTGCTCAAAAAAGAATGGAGACATACAAAAGGACACAGGAATCAACCTGAAGGAGCTCCCAACAGCCAAAATTAGAATAATTTGAACAATAAAAATAATGATGGTTTTGGATTGTAACCCATAGAATAATATAAATATCCAGGAGTTCATACCGATAAAAATTGTAGACAGATGTTACTTTTTCAGCTCAAGAGCTGTTCACATTTTGTGGAGTAGCATTTAAAACTTCCTTTGGGGAGCCACCCGTATCTCATGTACTCACCGCGAGGTCTGAGTGAGGCTCACTCCACCCTCAGCTCCAAGAGTGGGCGCATGACTTAGGCTATCTGTGGAGTCCATTCCTGTGGCCCTAGAGATTGATTCAGGGATGGGCACTCAAGCCAGTGTTGGGCAGTGAGCATCAGGTCCAGGACTTTTGGGGGTGTCCCCCATAGAGCACTGCCTTTTCTGCCACATTAGCTGCAAATATAGGGTGTTGACTTAGAGCTGTTGGCAGCCCTCTTGCCACCATGAGGGGAAGCCTGTCTGTGAACAGAGTCAGTATTGTAGAGAGAAGTGTCATTTGAGTCCCTAGATCTTGCTGAGCCCTCCCCTCCTTGCTCCCAGAACCCCTCGGTCAGAATCAACTCAGCCCTGCCTCCTGGACGTCTGTACCAGCCATGACTTCTTTCTGCCTTGTTCACAGGCTGGTCCACACCTGTCACCTCTGGTTATAAGCAACCTGGACACGAGGAATCTGGTTCTTCAAAGCACTGGGGCCTCACCCCACCCCCTCAGCTGCCCAGCAAAGTGCCACTGAGCCCCTAGAAAACACTCCTTCGCTTTGGTTCCCACTTCCTCCTGATGTGGATGGAGCTGAGTCACGGAGATGCCAGCCGGCCGAGCACGGACCTTGAAAGTACTTCTCTAAGTCACCGTCTCTTGCTCTAGCGTACTCTGGGGCCTGGGGACGCTGGCTTGACAGGTGAGATAATTATGTTTTACCCTTCACTCATTCCTTTATCAGTCACGAAGACGAGAACAGATAAGTGTTCCAACGGAAGAACATACTCCTGCCATATTTACTCCTGCTCTTCAGTGCCAGCCAGCTCCCCTTCCCAGGCACAACTCCCAGGGACCAGCCTCCACCCGTTACCTGTGCCAGCTGCCGCATGCTACCCTCCTGTCAAATATCAGGCTGCACTTTCCTTCCTGCATCCCCCAAAGCCGTCAGCTTCCCCGGGGGCTGTGGCCCTACTGCCTTTCAGATGACTTACCCGTGAGGGCCACTGTGGGCACGTCACCCATCCCCTGTGTGCTCTGCAGGGAGCTTGCCCCCGTGGCCCGGCCTGCACCTCTGTGCAGAATGTCGCTCTGGTCAGCTCTAAGGCCCCCAGCCCTGGTTAGATGGAGAAAGAGGGGCAGGGAACAGCAGGGGGTAGGCACCAAGTCTCAGAGCCCGGGGTTTTGAGATCTTCTGACACAAACTAACATTTCATTCATTCATTTGCTCAACAAACCTTTATTCAGGACCTACTGTGTCCTGGGTACTGCTGTAGGTGCTGCAGACACGGAGACAAGTGTCTGTCCTCAGGGAGCACCCTTCCTGGTAGACATCTGACTGGTTTTGTTTTTAAAGATTTTATTTATTTGACAGGGAGAGAGTACAAGCAGGGGGAGTAGCAGGCAGAGGGAGAGGGAGAATCAGGCCTCCCACTAAGTGGGGAGCCTGACATGGGGCTCCATCCCAGGACCCTGGGATCATGACCTGAGCTGAAGGCAGACACTTAACCAACTGAGCCACCCAGGTGCCCCAACATCTGACTGATTTTGATACCTGCTTCACATTTACACTTCACAACACACTGTCTCAGACATTATCTATATAATCCTCAATATGTGGCAAAGCCAACTGTGGTCTACAGACAGGAAAATGGTAGCTCCAAAGGCTAAATGACCATCCCAAAGACAGCACAAATTCAGGTCTTCCATATACAAACCTTGCACCCTTTCCAGGTCCCCTCCCAAGGAAGGAGCTAGCAGGGTGTAGCCTGAAACAGACATTAAGTCAACTCAGTCCTAGGCATCATCACTGGAGGTAGACAATACAAAAAAGATGACCCAATCCCTGATCCAAAAGAATCTATAGGCTAAAGTGAGAGAAAGACATGTAACCAATTATCATCTGTGGTAGGAATAAAGAAGACAGAGTGATTAAATTCAAATAGGAAGATATCTCTGGAAGGACACATAGAACATGATGATCACTTCCAGGCAGAAAAACTGGGTACCTGAGGAACAGGGAGAAGATCATTTTGGATGTTCAAATGTTACATACTCTGAATTGCATGCCATGTGAATCTACTTCCCATTAAATGATGCTTTGAGGAGGCAATTGGCCTAATTCTACAGGGTAAATGATCTGCTTTCTTCAACAAGCAAATAGCTCAAAAAAAGGATGGAAGGGAAGTATTATAGATTTGAGAAGATTTTGGTTGATGTTTCCTAATGCAATATATGTACAGTTTGAATCCAGACTGTAATGCACCAACTTTAAAAAAACATTTTTGGGACCAGGGATATTTGAGTATAAACTAGCCATTATAAGTTATTAAGGAAATACTGTTAATTTTGTTAGTTATGATTACAGTATTGAAGTTTTTTTAAGGTACTTATCTATTAGAGATACAGACTGAAGTATTTACCGATGAAATAATACAATGCCTGAGATTTGCTTTTAAATATTTGAGCAAAAATAAATAAATGAATTAAAAGTGAATGAATGAATGAATGAATGAATAAAGGGGTGAGTAGATGATACAAGACTGACAAAATGTTGATAATGTCTGTCGAACTGTCATCCAGTTCCATAAGGGTTCATTATACCATTCTCTCTTATAATGGTTGAAATTTCTATAATGAGAAGTTTAAATAAAAATTTTAAAATTAATTACCCCATCCACCAAGAAAGATTGAGAAGGAAAGCGTCACGGAGGAGAGGTATTTGAGCTGAGGCCAGAAGGATGACTAGAAATTTTCTAAGGGGCCAAGGGCATTCCAGGCTGAGCAAAGACATACAGATCTATCACAAACCTCTCTCCGGAGGAAACAAAAGTATCTACACTTGACCCCAAACTCAACTTACATCCAAAAAAAAAAAACCCTCTTGCTTGATGCCCCAACTCATCTAGTTGTAGCATCAAAATCAACTGACCTATTGCAAGTGAGGAAAGAGGGTGTGGGGTCAACAGCTCCATTCAGCGGCCTAGCAAGACACCCCAGTATAGCCTTGAGAGGACAGGAAAGCAATTAACCTCTTTCAATTGGGTTTTGCCTGACAAAGCACTTCGGAAGCCAACTGAGTTATCTCAGGAACAGAGCCTTCATCCCTCCTGAATCATCCCAGACACCTTGTGCTCCCCCAGAAACACACACCAGCCTCCCCAACAGTGCCTTGTAGATTAATAACCTCAGTACCATGGGATCCAGCTTGACGTCAGCCCGGCAGCCTAGCCCATCAGCACAAAAACACCTCCAATGAGGAGAACGCCCTCCCCTCCTTGCTCCCAAGCCCCCAGCCTCAATCCCCACACAGACTCCTGCCCACCTCCAGCTGCATGCAGGAAGCTTGCTGGCTTTGCAGCTACTTCAGGACTTATCTAGTCCTGGCCTGGCTCAGATGGGTCCCCTGGGCTCCTTACCTTGGATCGAAGCCGCAAGTACTCCTCTGAACCATAGGGGACACTCCTCAGGGAGGTGAGATAGTCATAACTGATGACAGCTGTCTGTGAACCAAGGAAAAGAAAGGCTCAGCTCCTGGGCATCAAATATTGCTCCTCAGCCCCCGCCCTGCACCTGCAGGCCCCTGACACAGGCCGTATGTCTACAGAAGTAGACAACACCTCCCCTAAGATGCTCTGTCCCCCAGATCTTAGCCTGGCTAACTTCTTCCTGTCAATCAGGGCTCTGCACAAATGCCACCTTTGCAGAGAGCCCCAATCTAAGGTTGCCCCACCCACCAGTAACTCTCAATTATTTATCATAATAACATTATCATACCCAAAATTACCTTGCTCACTTGTTTCCTTGTATGTGGACTATCTTCTCTTTGCTAGAATTTCAGCTCTGTAAACACAGAGGCCTGTCCTTCCCGTTCATCACTGTACCCCCAGCACCTTTTTACTATGCCAGGCACATAGGTAAATGCTCAGTAAAGACTAGTTGAATGAATGCTGGATAAACTTATTATCATAAATAAACATCATTTTATATTTATGTTGCTCAGATAGCCTGAGTTTTGATTCTGGGTCCCTTGCCCAAAAGTCCAGGAGAAGTCCCCATATCCTTGGTGAATCAGAAAATTACAGGCTTCCAGATATCTCAGACATGGAGGAAGACGGAGGATTACCCAGGCCAAACCTTCCTTTTTAGAACTGAGCAACTGAAGCCGCTAGAAGCTAAGGGACTTCCAAGGCTGATACCCAGAGAAGTCTATTCCTTTGCCTACACCCCCGAAGCTTTACTCCATTCGACATAAATGTGTTAAACGCCAACCACAAACAAGAGCTGGTCACTGAATAATGCACAAGGCCGATTAAGACCAGAGCCCTGGCGTTTAAAGAAGGCACAGCCTAGTGACTGGTTTATAAAGCACTGGTAAATACCTTCCTCCCTCATCTCCAGCTACAGTTGGCCCTGAGCAACCTGGACAACACGGATTTGAACTGTGTAGGTCCACTTACACATGGGTTTGGTTTTCTTTTTTTGTTTTTGGTTTGTTTGTTTAGTTTTTTGTTGTTGTTGTTGTTTTGGTAAACTGCAGTACAGTACTGTAAATGTATTTTCTCTTCCTTATCATTTTCTTTTTTTTATTTTTTTTATTATCTTTTTATTTATTTGACAGAGAGAAAGAGCACAAGCAGGCGGAGTAGCCGGGAGAAGGAGAGGGAGAAACAGGCTCCCCGATGTGGGGCTCAATCCCAGGACCCTGGGATCATGACCTGAGCTGAAGGCAGATGCTTAACAAACTGAGCCACCCAGGCACCCCCCACTTACGATTTTCTTAATAACATTTTCTTTTCTCCGGCTTACTTTATTGTAAGAATACAGTATATGATACATATGACATACAAACAATGTATTAACCAACTGTTCATGTTATCTGTAAGGCTTCTGGTCAACAGTAGGCTATTAGTCGTGAAGGTTTTGGGGAGTCCAAAGTTGACTGCATGGGTGTTGGCACCCTAACCCCCTTGTAGTTCAAGAGTCAACTGTATTCAAATCCCTAAGGTTCCATCAAAGCCTGCTTCCCTGAGGCCACTCATCCTGACTCCTAGCCTACAGGTCTCACTCCTGTGTCCGAGGTCCCCTAGCAGTGGTCACCTGAGTCACACATCTTGACCCAATCCGTGGCTTTAGATTGATTGTTTTTGACCCATTCATGTGGGCACTCCTCAATCATAAGCTCCTTCAAAGCTGGGTTGAGGTGGGACAGTTCATTTCTACCTCTCAAAGCATGTAAGACACTGCTGGGCCCCTAAAATGTCCTGGGTAAACACTTGGCAATCATTTTATATCCCAAGGCCTATTTATCTATTTGTCCATCTAGGTTCTATGACTAGCTCAGGAGAAGACTTCACAACACTGAGTATTAAGGAAACAATCAGACAACAACCCAAACAGACCGTGCATCAGAGTCTATCCACACCAAGCAAAAGAAAGGACAAGCTCATCCTGCAGCAGATAAAGGAGGAAAGAGAGCACTGAGGCACGTGGCAATCTACCCACTAATCAGGCAGTTATATGTGCCTGTCCGGGAGTGTTGCTCTCAGCAGCATGAAGGGGACACGATCACACAGGAAGGATGTCCCAGGCCATGGGAGAAAACCTCTAATGGTGAAATATTCAACTCAGATCCTCTGTTAGTTTGGGGTTTGCAGGGGATCCTCAAAAATCCTCCAAGGCCCTGCTGCTCTGAGTACAAGCCCTGCCTCAGGAACCATGCACACCAGCTCACGGGAAAGAAACCAGGTTTCCTGATAGAATTTCATCAAAGCTGCAGAGTCCTTCCATAGGCATTGGCTGAGGAGTACCGGCCCAGGTCTGTCACTAAAATACGATACAGAATCTAAAATGTAAAGGTTTGGGCGCCTGGGTGGTTCAGTCGTTAAGCATCTGCCTTCAGCTCAGGTCATGATCCCAGGGTCCTGGGATCGAGCCCCACATGGGGCTCCCTGCACCGCGGGAAGCCTACTTCTCCCTCTCCCACTCCCCCTGCTTGTGTTCCCTCTCTCGCTGTGTCTCTCTCTGTCAAATAAAATAAATAAAAAAATAATAAAATAAAATAAAATAAAATAAAATAATAAAATAAAATAAAATAAATAATAAAATAAAATAAAATTAATAAAATAAAATAAAATAAAATAATAAAATAAAATAAAATAAAATAATGTAAAGGCTTCACAACAGAGACTGTGTGCAAGCCCGTCCTGCTGGAGTTCAGTAGGATCGAGGTGGGCCGTACGGGAATAGAGATACAGGAGGGCGCCCGCAAAGCTTTGCACGCATAAGGGTGTTACAGGTGTATCTCCACATCTGCTACATGTATGAACGCCTGCAGGTAATACTGCAGTCCATCTGCCACCTGGCGATGAGGAAAACCTACCGTGGCAATGGCTCTGCCCACCCTGACAGCGCCAAAGTCACTGGGATCCAAGTACTTGTTACTGTAGAGGTAGAAGCACGAGGCAGCCAGAGCCGCGCTGGTCCACGAAGCAAGCTTGAGAGCCCTTCGGGCCATGTTCCCAGACCCTGCAGAAGGAAAGGAGACAACAAGGAACAGTTGAGTTCCGTAGTTAGTCGGACCAGGACCCAAATTCAGGCTCTGCCACTTAAATAGATTATATGACCTCGGGTCATTTTCTTACTGCAAAAGTTGTTGGGATAAAATGAGATCATGGATATAAAATGCTTAGTGGAGTACCTGGCACAAGTCAACTCTCAAAGTCATTATTCCTTGCACAGTACCAGGTACCGTTCGAGGCACTGGGGGGAAAGGAGACAAAGCAAAGTCCTTGCCCACACGGTGCTTACGCTCTAGATGGCACGACAGATCCACAGCACACAGACATATTAGAATAGCAGCTGCTATTAAGTGCGGAGAAGAAAATCAAAGAGGGTAAGACGAAGGATGATACATATGCAAAAAAGATGCTCTTTTAGAGAGGGAAAGTGGCAGAGCATGCTAATCCTCGTTACTTGTAACTATTACTTTACCACCATGCACACATAGGTGTCATTAGCCCTCCGTGCCCGGGTCAGAAGTGCTCAGGCCAAAAACGGCAGCTGGTCAGAATCATCCAGATAAGCTCCCACGTCTGGTTGATTTCCAGAATATTTATTTCAGTTAAAGTAAACTGCCCCTTGTCTAGATCAGTGGCGCCCTGAGGGCCCACACCATGACTGTTATTACGCTGTCCACTCACAGTCTGGCAGGGTACTTTGCGATTAGGGATTCAATGGCCCCCTGCTAATCTGTTTAACCAGACCCACTCCCAGTCAGTGGGATCAAGTGGGCTCAAGGCTCCCTGATGCCCTTCCCCACCCTACTTATAGTAGCTCAGTCCACCAGGTGGACTGTTGGAGCTTTTGGGGGCCACTGTACCCAATAGGCTGTTTCCCCTTCAGTTTCTGAGAACTCTGTATCAGACTGAAATCCTCGACCACAGCTGCAGGAAGCAGAGGAGAAGTCCCATCCAGGAGAAGTAAATCACCAAGCCACCCGCAAGTGCAAACCCTGTATAGACCAGCAGGAAGATTCAGGTCATCCCTGTTTGCTTCTGCTCTGGACTCAGTCTGTGACCAACCCTTCCCTGCTCTGTGCCTCTGTTGCCCCTTTGTAGGAAACTATTGCTACACACAGCCTTGTCTTCTTTTTCTTTAAAATCTATTTGGACTCGTGCCTCACAGTATAACCACAGATTTTTTTTAAGTATTCACAGGTACATCTTTTTTCCATTCTTCTACTTTGAGCTTAAATTTATACTATTTCTCTAAACAACATATACTTGATTTTTTGTTTGTATTTAATATAACTTACGTATTTAGATTTAATTTTATTATCTCCTTCCATTTCAAAAATGCAGATTTCTTATACCACATTAACAAAATGAAGGATAAAAATCACATAATCATCTCAACAAATGTAGAAAAAGCATTTGACAAAATTCTATACCCATTTATGATTGAAAACTCTCAACAAAGTAGGTACAGGGGAACATACCTCAACATAATAACGACCATATATGCCAAGCCCACAGCTAACAGCATACTCACTGCTGAAAGGTTTCCTCGAACATCAGGAATACGACAAGGATGTCTACTCTCACCTCTTTTATTCAACATGGTACTGGAAGCCCTAGCCAGAGCAATAGGCAAGAAAAAGAAATAAAAGCCATCCAAATTGGGAAGGAAAAAGTAAAACTATCACTATTTGCAGATGACATTTATATACAGAAAACCCTGAACAATCCACCAAAAAACTGTTAGAATAAACAAATTCAGTAAAGTTGCAGGATACAAAATCAGCATGCAAAAATCTGTTGTGTTTCTATACACTAGTAATGAATAATCAGAAAGAGAAATTAAGAAAACAATCCCATTTATAATTGCATCGAAAATAAAATACCTAAGAATAAATTTAACCAAGGAGGTGAAAGACCTGTACACTGAAAATTATGAGACATTTATGAAAAAATTAAAGACACCAATAAACGGAAAGATATTCTGTGTTCACAGATTGGAAGAATATTGTTAAAATTTCCATATTACCTAAAGCAGTCAACAGATTCAATGGTATCCCTATCAAAATTCCAATGGCATTTTTCACAGAAATACAACAAACTATCCTAAAATTTGTATGGAATCACAAAAGACCCAGAATAGTCAAAGCAATCTTGAGGAAGAAGAACAAACTGCAAGTATCATGGTCTCTGATTATACTACTATATTACAAAACTGTAGTAATCAAAACAGTATGGCAGTGGCATAAAAACAGACACATACATCAATGAAACCCAACAGAGAGTCCAGAAGTAAACCCATGCACATATGGGCAATTAATTTACAACAAAGAGGCCAAGAATATACAATGGGGAAAGGACAGTCTTTTCAATAAATGGTGTTGGGAAAACCAGATGACCACATGCAAGAGAATGAAACTAGACCCTCATCTCATATCATACACAAAAACTAACTCAAAATGGGTTAAAGACTTGAACATAAGATTTTAAAACATAAAACTCCTAGAAGAAAACATAGGCAGTAAGCTCCTTGACATAGGTCTCAGCAATGACTTTTTGAATCTGACACCAACAGCGAAAGCAACAAAAGCAAAAAAAACAAATGGGACTACGTTAAACTAAAAAGTTCCCACAGAGCAAAGGAAACCATCAACAAAATGAAAAGGCAACCTACTAGATGGGAAAAAATATTTCTAAATCATACATCTGATAAGGGGTTAGTATCCAAAATACATAAAGAACTCATACAACTCAATAGTTTTAAAAAATATATTAAAATATGGGCAGAAGATCTGAATAAACATTTTCCAGGGAAGACATATAAATGGGCAACAGGAACACCAAAAGATGCTCAACATCAGTAATCATCAGGGAAATACAAATTTAAACTACAATGAGATATCACTTCACACCTGCTAGAATGGCTCGTATCAAAAAGACAAGAAATAACAAGTGTTGGCAAGGATATGAAAAAAAGGGAAGCCTTGTGAACTGTTGACAGGAATGTAAATTGGTGCAGCCACTCAGGAAAACAGTATGGAGGGTCCTCAAAAACTTAAAAATAGGACTACCATATGATCCAACAATTCCACTTCTGGGTATTTATCCAAAGAAAACAAAAACACTAACTCAAAAAGATATATGCATTCACGTGTTCACTGCAACATTATTTACAATAGCCAAGATATGGAAACAACCTAAATGTCCATCAATGCATGAATGGATAAAGAAAATGTGATACATAGGTGAATATAATGGAATACAATTCAGCCATAAAAAAGAATGAAATCTTGCCATTTAAATGTGACACCATGGATTGGACCTGGAGGGTAATATGCTGAATGAAGTAAGTCAGAGAGAGAAAGGCAAATACCATATGATTGCACTTGTATGTGGAATCTAAAAAACAAACAAAAACAACAAACTCACAGATACAAAGAACAGATTGGTGGGGGTGGGCAAAATGGGTGAAGGGGACCAACAGGTACAAACTTCTAGTTATAAAATAAATAAGTCATGGAGAAGTAATGTATGGCATGGACTATAATTTTTATTAAATATTTGAAAGTTACTAAAAGTAAATCCTAAAAGTTCTCATCACAAGAAAAAAAATTTGTAACTATATGTGGTGATGGAGATTAGACTTACTGCAGTCATCATTTCCCAATGTATACAAATACTGAGCCACTACATTGTATTCCTGAAACTAATATATGTCAATATACCTCCATTTAATTTAAAAAAAAAAAAACACACAAAAATGTAGATTCTGAGGTCTACCCGTTGGCGCACTGAATTACCAACTCAGGGGGTGGGACTCAGGAACCTGCATTCTAATAACATAATGGGTGATTTTTATGCAAGCTAATGTTTGAGAACCATTCTTCTAAATATTTTCTTTTTACTAAAGAGGCTGCATGTGTTCAAACCCATCAGTGAAACCATGCCCAAAAAACAAGCCTTCCAGCTTTATCATACCTATTCCCAACCCCAGGTATCTGCGATCACCCCTCAAGAGTGACTGCAAACAATTATTTTTAAAGAAATAATGTAAGAAACACATTTGTTCCCCTAAACACAAATGCTCTGGCCCAGCTCCTGGGTTTAGTTCCTAACTCTGCAAGAAAGGGGTTTGTAAATAAAAAGAAATTAAAATCTTGCTTTGTAGAATGGACTTTATATTTTTTTTTAGTATTCTCTTTATTTATGAAAACCTCCCTATCCCCACATCATTCTGCCAGCTTTTTATTTATTTATTTTTTTTCTGGCAACATTTTAATAAGCCAAGGGTTTCTTCCAGACAAGAGACATGGTGGTTGAGAACATGCACTCCAGCAGGCCTGGGTTTGAGCCCCTCTACTCACTTACCAACTGGGTAAGCAGGCAAATTACTAACTCTCTCTGACTCTTGTGACCTTCTCTATAAAATGGGGATGATGACAGCATTGTCTACTAGATGGGGTGGTGAGGGACGAGGAAATCATGCAAAAAGTATGGCTAGGTGCCACCTACACAGTAAGAACACAGTAGCAACTGTTATTACCACCACCATTCATCTCTTATTATTATAATTATTATTATTATGACTGCTATTAATTATTTCCTTTCCCAATGCCATGCTTTGGTAAAGGACCTTATTTAATCCCCTGCCTGTCAACTTCTGGAGAACTTCTGCAGGCCTCACCTCTAACATCCTGGCAGGCCCCCACCTAATCCTACCTTTTCACTTTGCTCTCTATACCCTCAGCCTTAGTGTTTTCTATCAAAAAGGGCAGCATGCTCAGTTCACCCTCTACCTTGTCCCACCAAGACAGAGGGTTCCCAACTGGACCTGGAAGCAGGCCTTACATTGGGCTGCGTGCCCTCAGCTCCTTATACATCTTCCTTCTTCAAGATCATCAGTGCAAGAAAGTCCATGAGAGGTGATTCAGGGACCTTCCCTGTGGGGCCTTCAGAGAAGCCCACATTAAAAAGGTCATATGGAGCCACTGGTGGCTCGTGCACGATCCTCCAGGCCTGTCCCTGTGGGCAAGGAGGCCACTCCTAGTCTTGAGATCACCCACCCTGGGAGGGGAAGCCTCAGCCAAGAGGACACAATTCCCAAGACCCGGTTTTCATGCAAATGTCCTCAGTAATAAAAGAGATGGAAATTGAAAAACATAAAACAGATGATATAGGAGCCAAAGTATGTCTAAATAGATTGGAGCTGGAGTTTTCCATAAGGTGTCAGTGAGTCTTTAACATGCAAATGATCGCTTCCCTCGGGGTATTTTAAAAGACCCTGTCAGCCGTGAAATATGTCTGTCGATGAAAAACACCTTTCATTATTAAACCCTTTGCTAATGAATTGCCTGCCCTGTTCTGTTTACTTGTCTGACTTTCACCTGAGTTACCTCTTACAGAAGCACACACACTTTTGGGGAAGGGAAGGGAGCTTGAGGACACCAAGACCCTAAAACCTAAACATCGGATAACAATATTAGCAACAACTAACCTTTACAAAGCCCTTTGCACTCATTATCTCCTTAGAATCTCCACACAACCCAGGAAGATGAGATATATTATTATCATCCGCAGGCATAAATAAGAAAAGGAAGGAGCAGAGGGGGGGTGAGAGATTTTTCCCAGGTGACTCAGCTAGTAAATGGCAGCATTAGAGCTTGAGCCTGTCTATGGCACGTGACCTCCTTCACGGACTTGCAGAGCTCTGTTCACCAATGTTCTTACCACCGTTCACAGGTAACCGTGTCAGTCACTTTGGGCAGCAACTTTGATTTCTGACCCTCTATCAGGCCCAAATAACGGCGGCATGTAGAAGACACTGCCTGGAGCCCTGGAAATCAACATGACAGAGTATCAACCAAAGCACCTCACCAGAAATAACCATTCTCATCTAGGAAACATTTAGGAGAGCTGTGTTATTGTCAGATCTATGAGAAGAATGGACTCCATCTTGCTGGACCATAAGGGAACACCCCAGCGGGTGATGAAACGAGGCGAAATGCAAGTGCAGAAAGTTCTACAAATGGAATGTTGATCGTCAAATGAAATGTCCATCCCCTGGACACAACTAAATGGGGAACCAAGCACTTACTGTTTGTGGTGGGCCAATAAGTGGCTATGCCTATCAGTTACCACCCATCCGCAGCCCCCTCCCCATGCCACATCCCAGGACAAGAAGCATGGAATCACCTTTCCCTGCTTGGTGCACACGTAAGAATGGCCAGAGGAAAGGCAATTTGGGCTCTAATTCCATCAGTCCCATAAGTGACCACAGCCTCCTCCCATTTCCTAAGTAGGCTATTAGAGAAATTGAGCCTTATTTCTTCTGGTCTGCTCCGCTTCCAAGACTGGAAAAGACCCAATAAGAGTGATCAGGTTTTCAGGGAAACCTGAAAATGTTTCATGATGTGGTTAAAAAGCAAACAAGGTAGTTGATACCATCATGTCTCAAGTCTGGAAAGATGCACAATGCCCAGGGACCATATAGTTGGCCTGATCAGGTTTCTAACCTGCCCTACCACCAATGACGCTGTCCAAATGTAATCAAACTCCCTTTCCTAGGGTTTGACGCCCAGGAGGCGGCTGAATCAATATTGATTAAATAAAGGAATCCCTGGCTGATGCCAAGGTCCCAGAGCAGACAGAGAAAATAAATCTCACCCAGGAAAGGAATAGAAATTCTCCATTCACTTCATCCTGGGAAAGTGGGGACTCAGGGCAAACAGTGGAAAACCAAACACAAAGAGCACGTGGCAGGTAAGAGGTGGGTCACTGGAATCCCTCTGACAAAAAATCTAAACCCAGGAGATTTAGTGAGTTGGGGGCAGGCGGTTGAGCAAGGAGTAGGGGAATGGATGCCAGAACCAAGCACTATTCTTATCTTATAGGTCACCTGTCTGACAAGAAAATGTATATATCAGGAAGGCATAAAATGCAAGCTCTCCCAGCAGAGGTCAAATCTTACATCTGTGAGGGCTGTTGAGAAATAGCCAAGCCAATAATGACACAATAGAATATGATGTAACCCAGGAAAAATGACACAAGCATAGACTTCGAGAAAACCTGTATATACAAAATGTAGGGGCAAACTAACAGTGTACACAGTAATATGCACATGTTTACCATTACTACAAAAAGTTAAACTGGCAAACAAGGACACAAAGGCCCATAACCCGGTGTGAAGAAAGAGCTGGTGCTTTAAGTTCACAGGACTTTTTTCCTATAAAGCAATAGTACTCAAAAGTATGTTCCGGCCAGCATCCCTCTCTCCCAGGAGCATGTTAGAAATGCAAATTCTTGCTCCCTACCCCAGAGCTGGTGAATCAGAAACTTTGGGAATGGTGTCCAGCATTCCGTGTAATAAGCCCTCCAAGTGATTCTAATGCAGTCTGAGAAGCTGTGCAATAAGAAAACGCTTAAAGAAAACATATGAAGTCACAGATAAGTCTAATTCACTTTCAACTCGGCAAGTATCTCTTGAGCACACACTAAGTGCCAATGATCATGGACGGTATCAATAAATACTTGTTGAATTGGTTGACTTCCTACCTAGTAGGAAGTAAACGCCACTTAACCTGGGGACAGAGCTGTGCTGTCTCCCATAGGTTGCTCTCCATACACAGTTGTCATCTGCACGTTTTTAGAGAGAACTGGAAGTGCAGGGCCCGGCAAGGTGCGGGAGATCAGGAGCGCTCTCCGGGCACGCCGCGAGTCCAGGCGGAGCACAGGGGTTTCGTCTGCGCCCCCTGCTCTCGTCCAGACCACGCCCAGCCCCCCGCCGCCCGCGCCCCGGAGCCCGTAGACCGCGCCTAGGGAGAAGTCGCCTGGTTGAGCCACCTGATGCCCCCTGGTCCAGCTCCAGCCCTGCCTACGCGCGAGACCGCGCCACCGGAGAAGCCAGTCCGCACTTCCGCCCACTGCTGAGCCGGGCTGGAGAGTCTTCGCAGAGGGGGCGGGGCCCTGCGGGTCACGTGGCCACGCACCGGCCCGGGTGACAAGGTCACAGGCCGGGGGTTCCCTCCCCACAGCCTGAGCGGAGGCAGGCGCCCAGCGCGTCTATACCGCCTCCCCCGCGCTCCACGCGCAGTGCGGCCCCGGCGCGCCTGCCCTACTCACCCCAAGGGACGCAGGGACGCGGCGCCAGGTTCCACACCGCACGCGGGTGACGGGGTTCGCAGGGACTTTGCTTTCCGCCACCGGCGGATTGCGCCTAATGAAGCGGAGGCGCCGCGCGGCCTGCCGGGACTTGTAGTCCGTGGTTCCCTAAGCCGCGGGCACTAGAGCCACGGAACCCGCGCTTCCCCTGGACCTCTCCATCCGAGGAGTCAGAGAGGTCAAGACACCTTACCTGTCAGATAGCCTTGTTTCTTTGCCCGGCTGCGGACAGAGTCCTCCTGTCTTTCCGAAGGAGGCATAGATGCGTGTTCAGTGAAGGATGGAGTTGTCGGTTTGTGTATTTTAAATAAGGTATTAGAAGAAGTAAGCGAGGAATACATTTACTGACAGTTGCCGAATGGTGAGAAAGTGCTGATTAATCTTAGTTATCTCTGGCCCCCATTCGTTTATTCATTGATCTGTTTCGCATGTTTATAAGATGTACTTTAGAGACATTCATCAGACGTTCACTCATTTCACAAATATCTCTTGAGGTACTCTTTGGGGGAACAGAGTTGGGGGGAATTCATCTATCAATTCAATACAATTGCAATCAAATTTCCAACAGGATTTTTTCTGGACTATCACAAGCTAATCTAAAATTTACATGCAAAGGGCGCCTGGGTGGCTCAGTCGTTAAGCGTCTGCCTTCAGCTCAGGTCATGTTCCCAGGGTCCTGGGATTGAGTCCCGCATCGGGCTCCCTGCTCAGCGGGAATTCTGCTTCTCCGTCTCCCACTCTCCCTGCTTGTGTTCCCTCTCTCGCTGTCTCTCTCTCTGTTAAAAAATAAAAAAAATCTTTAAAAAATAAAATAAAATTTATATGCAAAAACAAACGGTAAAACATTGCCAAAACACTCCTGAAGGAGCGTAACGAACGTGTTTCAAAGACTTGGCCTTTCGTATATCAATATTTATTAAAATGCTGTAAGAATTAAGGTCATTCGGTATTAGTATAAGGATAGGCAGAAGGGGGGAAAGAAATCAGCTTAGAGAACCCAGAAACAGATCGAGGCATATGTGGGATCTTGATATATGACAGAGCTGGCATATAGATCAATGGGGAAAGACACATCATTCAGTATATGAGCTGGAGCAACTAGTTATCTGTTGGATCCTTCATTAACCCCCCAGACAAAAACTAATTCCAGGTAGATTAAAGACTTTCAAGGGAAAAAACAAAATCAGAAATTTTAAAAGAAAATAAAGGAAAACATCCTGTGATCTCAGGGTAAGGTTTATTAAATGACACAAGTACAAACTATATACATAACTTTGATACATTTGGACTGCATTAAATTCAACAACTTCTCTTCATTGAAGGGCATAAAAAGACAAGCCACAGACTAAGACAACTGATGCACAGAGACAGCAGTGGTGTAGAGTTGCCTAATACAGCCCTCCTCCCCCGCCGCTGTCTCAAGTTTGTGGTGTATACATGCTAAGATAGGAACATAAATAATTTTCAAGCACTGTGAGAAGTGTGAGCTGGAGGTATGAACAAAGAGGTATAGGAACACAAAGAAGGGAAGAGTAATTTTGCCCAGGAGATTCTGAAATGCTCCATAAACTAAGAACTGACTTGGAGGCTGGGCATTAAAGGTTGAATAGGGGCTCCCCTGAAGAAGGTTGTTTGCATCAAAAAAAATCATATAAAAAAGCATAAAGATGCAGTAAAATACAGTAAAAGACATAAAGGATATTTAAATTAAAATGGGAAGTTTAAAACCAGATAGAAGACAGAACAAATATATTAAAAATTTAATATGGTTACTCTAATTGCACCTTAACTATGAAAATGTTACTAGCAAGCTAGCAGTTACCCTGAGGAATGGAAATAGGGGAAGGGGGGGTTAGAGAACTTTCAGTTTACACCCTGTGCCCTTTTATATTTGAATTTTTTTTACAATGAATGTGTGTATAACTTTTATAATTAAAAATTTAATTATTTAAACGCTTCTTAAATTTTAATTTTTAACCCTTCAAGTTCAACATGTTGAGTACACTCATTTAAATCCACTCCTTCCTAAAATCCCATGAAAAGGACAGGAAAGGAATAAAAAAAAGTCATAAAACCCAAAGGGAACAAATGAAAAGACAACAGGCAGATGGAAAAAAATCAAAAAATAAATGTGGGAGGCTCCAACGCAGATAGGCAAATGAGGCGCTTATAAACAAGCCCCAGAAATTCTGACTTTAGAGTCTAGTCTGGGATCTGGACCTCCATAGTCCTTAGAAAGCTCCCTCAGTGATTTTAATGGGCAGCATAGTGGAAAAGCTCTCTCAAGGAGGCAGTTCATGTAGTAAAAAGCCGGTGGATTAAGAGCAGTGGTTCTCAGGCAGGTTAGAATCACCTGGAGAGCCTTAACAGCCCTCCTGGGGAGTACCTGGGGGGTTCAGTGGGTTAAGTATCTGCCTTAGGTTCATCTCAGGATCCCGGGATGGAGCTCTGTGTCTGGTTCCCTGCTCAGAGAGGGAGTCTGCTTGTTCCTCTGCCCCTCTCCCCACATGTGCACAAACACACAGGTGCACTCTCTTTTTCAAATAAATGAATAAAATCTTTATTTTTTTTAAAGATTTTTATTTATTTGACAGAGGGAGACACAGAGAGTGAGGGAACACAAGCAGGGGGAGTGGGAGAGGGAGAAGCAGGTTTCCTGCTGAGCAGGGAGCCCGATACAGGGCTTGATCCCAGGACCCTGGGACCATGACCTGAGCCGAAGCAGGCAGTCGCTTAAAGACTGAACCACCCAGGCGCCCGTGAATAAAATCTTTAAAACAATAACAACAACAATCCTCTTGGGCCACACCCTGGGGGGCAGGACCCAGGTGTAACTATTTTGTAGAGCTCCCCAGAGGGTTTCAATGCCTATGCAAGGTCATTTCTGGGGGGCAGGACCCAGATGTAACTATTTTGTAGAGCTTCCCAGAGGGTTTCAATGCCTATGCAAGGTTAGACACCACTGATTTAGAGTCAAAGAGTCTTGTTTCAACTGTGTGACTTAAAGCAAGTTTTATGCAACTGATCAATCACTAAATTCTACCTCTGAAGGGCGCCTGGGTGGCTCAGTTGCTAAGCGTCTACCTTCGGCTTAGGTCATGATCCTGGAGTCCTGGGATCAAGCCCCACATCTGGCTCCTAGCTCAGCGGGGAGTCTGCTTCTCCCTCTCCCACTCCCCCTGCTTGTGTTCCCTCTCTCACTGTGTCTCTCTCTGTCAAATAAATAAATAAAATCTTTTTTTAAAATAAACATATTCTACCTCTGAAACCAATAATACAGTATATGTTAATAAAAATTATTTATTTATTTTTAAAAGCAACTTTTCTAATTTGGCAAAGCTTATCTTCCTTCTTGATTTACCAGTGATAAAATGGTAGTTTCCCTCTTGATAAAAGGTATTAACTATTATCTGTCCTACCTACCTCAGAGGTTCTTACGAGGATCAGGTGAGATGCGGTGTGTTTACCTGCCAAACTGGCTGCTCCTAATAGGCCCTCACACTTCCTGTTCCCCTATAATTTCAAAGGTCTGCTTCATCCCAGCAATCTGTTCTCTGTTCCGATGTCACCCCTCCAGAGAGGCCATCCCTGACTACTCTTACCTAACCGCTACCACCCCACCACATTCCCTGAGACACACTCTATCCCCTTACACTGCTTTATTGTTATAGCACTCATCAGTACTTGAAATTATATTATTCGTTTGTTTAGAGGGCTTTTATCTGTCTCCTCCACTAGACTGTAAGCTTCATGAGAGCAGAGATTTATATCCTCAGTGCCTAGAAAGGAGACAGACAAGAGAGAAGCAAAGAAACAACAGGATAGTTGCATAATGTAATAAACCCTGTAAAGGAAAGAAGCAGGGGTGTGTGATAAAGACTAAACAGAGGCCCGAGATAGTGTTTGGATAGAGAAGTCAGGCAAGGCGTCTTTGAGGAAATTGCAACCTGATGGATGAACAAGTCAGCCATGGGGAAGTTGAGGAAGTATGCTCCAAGCAGAGGGAACAGCAAGTGCAAAGACCCTTGGGGTAGGAAAGAGTCTGGCATATTTGAGGAACAGAGAGGAGCCCAGTGTAACTGAGGCAGAGAGAATGGTGTGGGAGAAGGTAGGAGAGGCATGTAGGGGCCAGGTCACACAGAGCCTCAGAGCGCTCACTGGTTTGGATTTTAGTCCAAGTGCACTTGGAAGCCATTGAAGGGTTTTGTTGAGATGGGATGTGACCAAAGAAGCTACATAGAAAAAGCACTGAGCAACCGAAGCCACAAAGGGAAGCAGCTAACTTATCTCAGAACCTGCCAAAGTCCCAGTTGAGTTTCTGAGGCAACAGGGCCAGGAGTTGGTAAGCTGAGTATTCAGAATGCTATCCAAGAGAAGTGTTCATGCAGGATGCTGTGTGTCTTGTCCTCGAAGTGGACCATCTGGGAGGAAGCATCAGACAGCGCCCAACCAGAGGAAAAGCAAGAGAATCCAAAGTGCAAGGTTCTTGCTTAAGGCAATGAGAAAAGATTACTGCGCAGGGAGTAATAAGGGAACTGTGTTCTTTGCAGAAGGGAAAAGCCTTAAGGCCTGTAGTAGAGAAAGCAGAAAATCTGTATTTGGTTCGCAGCAGTATTCCAAGGTAGGCAGTGCGTTACAGGGGTCACAGCCACAGAAGGAAGCATGAGCTGGAGGGCCGGAGCTTGTGTTAACACCTGCCCAGCACAGAGTGTCCACCCAGACCCAGGACCAGAAGGTCAGGGTCCAGCTATCCCCAGAGGGCAGCTGAGCATTTGCCAGAGAATCTGCAGACCAATCCATATGCTATATGCATTTGTGTGCGAGGTTCTAAGAGCAGAGACTAAGATTGAAGAGAGAGCAAGGCGTGCTGGCTCTGAACACTTCTAGGTATCAATGACCATGAGATGGAAACCTGCTCAGCCTGCCCCATGGGATAGTCAGACTGGCCTGGACTTGATGGACATCTAAAGGGATTTTTTTTAACACCTGGGAGGAA